TGTAGCATGATACACACGTCCCTTGAGATTCAGGGATACACCAGTTTGACGCCATAAGTGTCTCAAATTAGCAAACGCGACCAGAGCCTTGCAGTTTTGTGCATTGGTCTCATCTGTCACACTACAATCAGAACTAATACAACTTCCAAGTTACGGAAAACGCTCCACAACTTCCAGTGCCTCTCCCTGGATCGTAAGTGGCGTGTTCAGTGACTGCACGTCCACGAACATGACCTTACACTTTGTAGCTGCAAAGTGCATACTAAAGTTCGGGGTGATTTTGGTCAGTTCATCCGAATGTCATTGACTGATTTCAGTATCAGTATGGGCGAGCATCCAGATTGATGAGCTCTTTTCACCTACATAATTCCACACATGTAGCCATACTTATAAAGGCCGTCTTAGACAGGTAGGATCCCAACCTGTCACTCTTAAATCGGAGGTGCCTTCCTTGGTGCTTCAGCCGAGCACATGCGAGCAGTTGGGGGGAATGTGCGTAGTACTGCCCCCATCATACGTAACATGGCTGGTAGCCCACGAGCTTCCGGGGCATACTCACCTATGCTTATCTCAATTTTACGCTAACCATAAGTAGGTCGTAAGTGCCTACATGCAAAGTCCTGTCATCAGACAAGAGGCCAATGAATCCCCAATTGTATCCTTTGATACGACCTTTCCTAGCTACAAACTGAAAAGAAATGTGCCACTGAAGATAACGCGTGTTATCATCGGAATATGCTTCACTTCAAGTTGGTTAAAATTAGATCGCGATAGCCTTTCAACTTGTTGTGCGCTAAAAAGAAACGCACAACACCAGCTTAGCAATTAGTGCCGGTAACTGAGTTCGACAAAAGCTATCTATCTACACACTGATTATCTCAAATATATGCTCGTTTGTTCTTTTCTCTCTTTTGACTGAAAATACATTTTACACTTCCATAGACACTGGATCTGCCGACTCACGGATCGGTCGATCGGCTCAATTTGCCCACGGTACAGTTGTTTGCATGCTCTCATTTTCATTTCCTTGTGAGCACTGGTAGCAATTTACATGTCTGACGATCAATTCAACTATGAAAGCACCTATCTTATATCCGTTTTAAATTTGAATGTCTGATTTATTAATCAGCACTTACCAAGCTCTACAGAAGTGCAGTTCGTCATGTGTATAATTCCTATAGCAACGAGGCTGATAGTTCACAGCAAGTAGTTCAGATTTCATATCTAAACTAAACAACCGTTACGCAATCAAATAAACAAATGAATAAATTCAGTTTATGAGAACTGTTTAGAAATAGTATAGCTAAGTATATCATAACGTTCCAAAATTCGTCCGATCAAGAACTCGTCCACCTTTTTTAACAAAGCCGAGAGATCTGAAGGCAACACTACTGATATTTGAGAGAGAGCATCAACAGAACCCACGTACCGGAAGGACCGTACTTAGTCACAAAACGTGGGTGGTTCCAACTCAAAAGTCTTTGGTTTTTTGTCGTTATCTTCACAAAGGTTAGAGAGGAATTTGAAATGAGTGTACCTGCCAAATCAAAACTAATTTGGCCACAAATAACTTCGTCTGTTTTACTCCCATTTCTATTAAACAAATACGCATTCGACTTTATCTCATAGTCACAGAGTTTCCCCTTTTTGAGGTTTCTAACAAGAGAGAATTACCAATGGCTGACACACAAACGTGGAATGGGTTTTGTGAGGAGGGGCGCAAAAGGACTTCAAAATACTCACCAACACATAGATGATTGGCTAAATTAATTTCATCATGTTTGGAGTGGCGTACCCCGTTCCATTTGTTTGTCAAACAAAAAACGTGAAGTGACAAACTTACGCCAGACTGTAATGTAATCTCAAATTGATCTAGTTAAGCAAAGTGCAGTTTCAAGTACCGGTCGACTTTCAAGCACTTTTTCACTGTTTTTTACACTGAAAAACTTTGTCATTCAGCCCGTCAGTTAATGTAAACATTTTTTTCTGTTTTCAATGCTTTTTCAGTTATTTCTGAAAAAAATTTGTTTGGGTGAAAAAATCTTCCGAAAAAAAGAACCTGCTCGATTCATTTTCTTTTCAAAGGTTGATGTGAATATCCTTTGTTTTATTCAAGGTCATCACTGTGTTCAATGGAGTTCCTCTCCTAGCCCACGAGCATTTCTCAGATGACCTTTTATTCCGTCAGTTCCAACAACGAGGATGCACATCAGACCTCCATGAAAAAAGGTCACGAACACATGGGTTTTTGCATTTTCTAACTGTACTGTACAGAGTTTCATAGTGTATCCTGGATTTGACCACACTTGGGCGGTTTGCTTGTCACAACAGCTGTAAACAGCATTCTGCGTTCCACACCATACCATCTAGTTTAGTAAACACGCGTTGCCTTATGACATTTATGAAGTCAGCCGCATAGGCAACCTAGTGTGGCCATGATCTTACTGCCTGAAAGCCAATAGGTCAAGTTCGTCAGAATAGCTGTGTCAGTACTTTTTTGCTAAATGCCACGAATCGTCCATTTCCGTTTGTTGTTGAGCCTTTCTGCTAACTTCATTACCTTAAAAGTGAAAAAAACTGATAATCGCTAAGCATCGGTTAATGTGGTGTTTTGAATACGTCCATAAATTGGCTTTCGCCGTCAGCATTTTTAAGAGGACAGTGAGCAATGGACTTTAATACCACACTGACAAGTCTCCGGTCACTGAGAGTCTGTAGTTTGGGCTACCGCTTGTGCAAATACAGTTGACTGTAGCTTTGCGAAGTGGGTACCAGCGACTGTGAAAAAGCTTTACGTTTCAAAACCATTTAGTTTATGGCAAGTGTAACCGGAGGACTTGCATTAAGATGGAACTCATGTAGCTTTGCGAAGTGGGTACCAGCGACTGCGAAAAAGCTTTACGTTTCTAAACCGTTTAGTATATGGCAAGTGTAACCGGGGAACTTGCATTAAGATGGAACTCACCAGTGCCTTCGCTTTCGTTTTGAACCGTGACAAATTCTGGCCTGATTATCCTCGCCAGTAAAGTAGTAATTTCGTGGGTCATAACGCTTATTTACTGAATATTTCCTGAATACTGCTTTTCAAATCTGCAATCTTTAATAGTTGACTTTTTTGTCACATGCGGCACACACTAGAAAGCACTGTGGATAAACGTAAGTTTGCAAACTGATGTTGCTTGCATGGATGTCTCAGCTCCGCTCAGTGAATTTGTTCAGATGGATATGTTACACACAAGTCTCGCAGCATTCCATTTGGAGCTATATTACAGACACCGAAAAAATCTTGACAGAACGCGAAGACGCATACGGTGGAAACTGTTCGACAGCCAAGTTTATCCTACTTGAAGCTCGTAATACCTCGTGAGTTTCCATGTTTTTGGACAGGATCAAACAATCAATTGCTAATCCACGTAGTTTTGGGGCAGTCCAGTCCTCAAATGAATGTGCTGTACAATGACCGATACATGACCCAGCTGAAACGTCAGATAGTACATCGAAGTGCCTCCGAGGAGATATTTAGTAGTATATATAAGTAGTTCCATGCATAGAATTTAACCGGCCCATTAAAATAAAGCTGATATAAACTAGACCATTTGTCATTCGACGATTGTAGAAAGCGAGGCAGGATGATAATTTTGGAATGTGCAACTTTACCAATATTTGAATCTGTACAAATATGCACGATGAGTTTATGCTAACCTGGTAATTAGGAATCACAAAACGTGGAAAATCCAAAAAAAGTCAGCTGCATATGTTCGTTGTTGAATCAAGCAAAAACGAGGAAAGCAATCTGAACCCAAACGTTTTTTCCAACATGTACCCAATAAGTTAGGTATTTTTGGAATTTACATTTATTAGAACTTTGATTATCACATATGCACCCAGGACTGGCGTAACGAAGTGGCTAGAAAGCGCGTTTTCGGTTGTTCAACGAGCAGTTCCGTTGAAGAATGTGTCCAGTACCAGAAGCTGCGTTGGTTGGGACATGTGTTGCGTATGCCGAACCATTGTTTGCCGAAGAGAGTGCTGTTTTCCATGCCTAATTCAGAGTGGCGTAAACAGAGAGGTGGACGGTTCTTGACCGGGCAGAGGGAAATGAAGGAAATCACGAAACGCTTGGGTGCTGTCGACGCGACTCGTCTTCCAGGATGGGGACCGCGTGATCCTCCCTGTGCCTGGTTGGAAACACCACAAGTTGTGGCCGTCAACCGATGTCGGTGGCGTTCTTGTTGTCAGTTTCTATCCGGACCGTTTGCGTGAGTGTCTGGAGGTATAAGCACCTCGTAAGCATTGTGGTAAGCTTAAGTCGCTTCGCTTCCCTGTCCACCTCTACTCTTTTCTTTACAATAATGCCTTCAAATAAATCATGGTTGTACGGCAGTGAAGCGTCGATGTTGAACACTGATGTCGTGTTGTCGATGATAAGGAGGATGCAGGACTAACTAGGTCACTTCTCACTTTACTGGATTAAGGCATTCTCCGACTGTCTGAATCTGCTCAGGGTACAGCTTGATGCAGTTGAAGAAGCCTGAATATGGTCTTTAAAATGATGGCGCATGATTCACCATTGTCCGTCGCAACCACGCCCACCATAAGAATTATCAACCGCATTCAGCGCAAGATTGTCGATACGTGCTTATTCTTTTGGGGTAAACACCTACATAAACCTGGGGGTGGGTAGAGCACAAATAAGTATAAATTCTTCTGATGCAACAGATTAATAAATAGTGTTTTTTGACCGGAAAAAATTTCACTTATTGAAACATCCCGTATTCGCACAATGGAGTTGAATTTGATGAACTAAAGCAATCGGCGATTGAGTTCAAAGTACCAGTCCAAACTTTTGAGCCCCATTTAGGCATCTAGGGGTCTGAGCAATGCTAGGAAATTGTTCCATCAGACTTTTACACCAGAGTTATGAGTGCTTCAGTGGACAATAAAAGTTGGTGAGCTGCAAGAATATGAATGAAGATTAAGATGGTTTTCGGTTTTGAGCGCATACGCAACAAAATGCAACATTTTGGCACGAAAATGTTTCACTTCTCTCGTAAAGGTTTTGCAGTTAAAAGCATTATGCAACTAATGGTCTCCTTCAAAGCATTTCGAATCGGTTGCTAGTAGAGTAGCTATTTTTCTGATCACAGTATCTTAGTCTTGTACGGAACATTTCGTGGAGAGGTTTTAAGTTCATCTTGGATGATAAAATGTCTATTATAATAAAATAGTTGGCTGGTAGTGCCTGTAGCTTGTTCTATTCGATTCATGGCTAAGTTACCTGTGAAAGGAAGAAGGTCTTCGCTACGGAGTTATTTCTTAGAAAACGCCAACTAAACAGTTACAGACTATTGGATAGGAAAGCAAAACTCTCATATGCATCTTGTTTAAATAAACTGAATGTCATCTCCTCCAACGCGTCTTGCTGAATTTTCCGGATGTTCATTGACTGTTGCTCAAGTGCAAGCTAATGTGACTTCACAAATTCCACAATAGATCTCACTTTTCTAGAGACGCAAAGCGGATTTACGAGAAAACATACTACTCGCATGTACCCCTCAGTAGTATCCACCGTTAAACCTGTCGTTCTGTCTTCAATCGTCTTTCTTAATCAAAAGTCTACGCACCGGGAGACATGAAACGCATTTTAATTCTAGTTTCGCTTTCAGAAGCAAGTATTTGGATAATTAGAACCCATAGATATGTGTAGGTTTATACATCAGGACTGTATACTTTTAGATATAACGTCGGTATGCTCCCGGTTCAATACTATAAACAAACCAGCAAATGACAGAGAAGGAGATAGAAACAAAACCATCTTAGTTTACAGTAGTTATTTTGAGGATTAAACCGATATATTCCGTGAATTTCGGATCGACTGATCATGAATAATTAGTTGAATCATTCTTAATCTCGAATTGGTGTTCATTTGTCTGCATTGACTGGTGACCTTTCCAATACGACCATTGTGGTGAACATCCACCGAATAAGGGTGTTGTATCGGCATCCTTTGGCTTGCGTCGGAATGGAGTTTAGAGTATCGATTGATTTTTTGGGCCTAATGATGTCTGCAACTCTGTTCGTACACGCCGAATGCGCTAAACTTCCGAGGTAATTTGAACCGAAGCCACTTAGTCTGTTCTTTTGTAAACGGGACTACACTCAACAACGTTTTGCACATTCGTCTAAAGACGGTCAGACAAGCTTGGGAAACGAACTAGTATATTCATCACTTGCGTGATAAATAAAGTTAGAATGCAACTTTGTGACGGGTGTTTTGGGGTAAAATCTTGCATTATTGTGCGCTCAACTTGAAAGGAAAACGGGCGGATATGTTTTTGTCTATCGGCCAGTTCCATTTGCTAATCGACTGAGTTAATTCAGACACTTTTGTCCGATCACATGTGCAAAATGCATCAACAATCCAGAAATCATCAAGTTCTGTTGTCGTGAGTTTCAAACAAAACATTGGCAAGCTGTCTTGGACAAAGGAAAATGCCAGTCATGCTCGACGTGTCTTACAGTGAATAGGAGCGAAAACGATACACAGAGTCAAACCAAGCAAAAGTACATTGATTATCTGATTTAAAACGGTCATATACCATCACTACTTTCGGAAGGCAGACCCTCATATATGGAAGTATTTTGAATCGCCCTTCAGTATCGAATACCAAATAACATGTAAGACTCTCTTGTAAGGGTGCTACTTTGAGTACCTGACAGAAAATCGATAGCAACTCGGTGAAATTTCTTTGTCCCCCACGTCCACTGCGGTAAAAAAACAGCTGTTGCTCAGCCTTCAAACTAGGTTTTAGGCTTTCAGTGTCAATCGCTTCCATGAACTTTTACACATGTGACTCTGTTTATCCAAGTAAACCGTAGGTGAAGTGGTCAGTGGTACTGCTATCATTGTTGAGTTTAGTAAATTGAGATAATATTGTCAGCGGCAGAGACTGGGGCATCGTTTTTACGCACGCCTAAATATGGCATGAGTTGATCACCAGGGTTGATTGACTATCCGTAAACTGATATTGCAATACCTTTCCTTATTTCTGGGGGGGGGGGCGAGATGCCTCAAGTGGTTAGAGCGTGAATTTACTGACCGGAAGGTCCGTGGTTCGAACCCGACCTCTGCCTCCCGACTTCCCCTATCTAGGCTTGGGCAACCTGGCAGTATCCCAGCCCTCGTGCAACCTTCGGGTAGCATGGCAGCTAGGCACCGGAAGGGCGTTACAGCTGAACGATTTTTTTTCATTTTTTATTTTCCTTATTTCTGAACAGGCTGGTATGCCAGAGCATGCTAGATCTAAACTACTTGTGGCAAAATTATCTAATGTCTCTACTTAGAAGTGAGTTTTTCGACTTGTCTATCAGGGGAAACACGTGGCATTAGGCAGCAGAATGGGCCAAATGTACTGTTCATTACACACGCTATCGGGGCATTTTGAAAAACGTTTTGATTGTGGGGGAAAAGCACAGTGGTGGCCATTGTCCTTCACTTATTCAATCAGTTAAGCTGACCGACCAATCCAAATCAAGTTGACGAGTTCGTTGTAACCATACTGCAGAATACTGAAAACTGAAAAAGCCAGAAGAACTTCTCTCAGCATGGTTCAGCGGCTATACACTTATTCCATGCCACCAATGTACTTTCCGTGTACTTCAGAAGCATTTCGTTGCAGCGGCACTTAGTTGCCTGATCCTAGAAGGAGATTATACCATGCGCGAATACACTTTACATTAGGAGTACAGTGCCATACTCCTTTCTTAAGGGCAGACTACAAGAAATTCCAGAGTTGTCCTAGAGGTGGCGCATCCTTAGAATTTTACTTTCCATGCTACTAAATGGCGTCCATCAGGGGCATAAAAAGGAATAATTTGAGACCCCGCAGCAATAACAGAGCGGGTGTAACGAATTTAGTGGAACCATTGGTCCATTTGTGGTCTTTGTTGCGTTGTGGTCTGCGATCCTTTGTGTTGGTTGGCTATCCGAAAAGGACGCAGACCACAGTACAACAAAGATCACAAATCGGTCAATAGATTCACCGAATTCGTAACGCTTCAAGTGACCAATCACGTCAGAATATGACAAATAGCCTTCGAATTCTATATAAACGCACACAGGCAGAGAAGATGTACCCACCCAACCGCGCACTGATGATGTCTCCTCGCAAGGTGACGAAACGTGTGCAAGCCAATTGCCAAGCTCGGTGAACAGATCAACAGCCACCTGATCAACAACCAATAAGTTTCACGTCCGTTTTTGCACGTAGCAGCAGTATATTTCACCCACTGGTCAAAAGGTGCTCAGCCCATCGCTTTGGATATTCGCTTAAGTTGAACCGTGTCTTGACGATATTCGATCGATTTCTTATACTCGGAAAGCAACGTGACCTTCATTTAGTTTGCTGGAGTAGAGATCATCCGCGACACTCGTTGCTGCTCTGCTGTTTTCATCAGCCAACCATCGATACTTCTCTCCCCAGATCCATCTGACGTGGTATGACAAAGGAATGAGAACTATTATTTTCGTAAGGGAGAATACTCACAAGGTTGCTGAAAGCTCTTCGACAGCGCACGGCCGGTTTCGCCCTTCTTGGGGCTCATCAGGTACGCACAGTCTCCGAGTTTCCGTCAACCTTATGTTGTACTTGAACCCAAATTTGACTGTTTTCGGTCCACTCGCAACTCCATTTGGTTTCCACGAGAGACTCAAATGAAGCTCTCGTTTATGAAACTGCGTGGTCCATTCACACCTAAACACTCTCTCATAGAATTTCGGACGATTTTGTCAGCCATTAGCGATGAGTAACATTTCGGCGTGGAGTTTACCTGCCTTCAAATGTTTTAGCGAAATGAAGGACGGCTGGAATTGGTCACAGAATTAGTTTCACAGGTGTACAGGTTAGGGCGTTTTAAATCTGATCAACATCATTCTTGTGAGGCCACGTAAAGCCCCAATTTCAAATGCATCATACAGTTTAACCTAATCAAATATGGCCTTTCAGGGCAAAGGTTACAAAAAAACTGGATTTAATGTGGTGGAATTAGTTGGACTGCTTGCATAGCTTGGAGGTCACTCGACTGTGTTGGTCTTGGGTTACTGAATAGTGTGAAAAAAATCAATTCAAAAAACAGTTGCCTGAGCATCATTCACTGCTGCATTGAATTTGATAAAAGAATAGTGTGATTGAAAAGCTGGAAAACTCCAACTGCGATATCACCGATGCTACCAGAACCGCACATCCTGCAGGCTAAAAAGTACACAAACGGAGATGAGGATGTACTCATATAAACCAGATCGCTTGGCCAGTTGCTAAGTACATGACAAATATGTCTGAGCAGCGGTCCAATAGGCTATCGCAGAGAATCTTCACGTCAGATCCGCACTGCGAGTATTGCGATTCGTTTAAACAGTGAGCCTAACTATGACAGGAATATAAACACCTATTAATAAGGCAATAGCGAATAAAAACACAAATTCTTGATTCAAATAAACCTGTGGGATTCTTTTCCTTTTGAGGGGTATGTTATTCTAACCGCGGCAGATATCCCACTACCTCTGTTGATTGCTTCATCTGTCCTCGAAATCGCCCGAGAATCCACAGGCCGGCTTGTTTTTCTGAACTCATGTTATCAAGACACATGATAATTGACTCCTGGATAAACAGTTGAATATGTTAGCCTGCAAAAATCTGCTACAAGGACGCGACAACTGGGGAAGTTTAACATCAAAATTAGATCCCCTGATTTGTTGTAAATATGATCATCTGCGGGGTGGCAAATCTCTAAAGTTTGTGGAGACCAATTGCCAGAAGTTTCATTTGGCAAAAGTAAGTGCAACATTTTTGTGATACCAGTATTGTTATCTCCATGTTGATTTCGAATCAAAAGAAATGGGGTTCAAACTGGTCGGAGGTGACGAAACGTGTGCAAGCCAATTGCCAAGCTCGGTGAACAGATCAACAGCCACCTGATCAACAACCAATAAGTTTCACGTCCGTTTTTGCACGTAGCAGCAGTATATTTCACCCACTGGTCAAAAGGTGCTCAGCCCATCGCTTTGGATATTCGCTTAAGTTGAACCGTGTCTTGACGATATTCGATCGATTTCTTATACTCGGAAAGCAACGTGACCTTCATTTAGTTTGCTGGAGTAGAGATCATCCGCGACACTCGTTGCTGCTCTGCTGTTTTCATCAGCCAACCATCGATACTTCTCTCCCCAGATCCATCTGACGTGGTATGACAAAGGAATGAGAACTATTATTTTCGTAAGGGAGAATACTCACAAGGTTGCTGAAAGCTCTTCGACAGCGCACGGCCGGTTTCGCCCTTCTTGGGGCTCATCAGGTACGCACAGTCTCCGAGTTTCCGTCAACCTTATGTTGGAACCCAACCCAAATTTGACTGTTTTCGGTCCACTCGCAACTCCATTTGGTTTCCACGAGAGACTCAAATGAAGCTCTCGTTTATGACGTGGTCCATCAACCTTATGTTGTACTTGAACCCAAATTTGACTGTTTTCGGTCCACTCGCAACTCCATTTGGTTTCCACGAGAGACTCAAATGAAGCTCTCGTTTATGAAACTGCGTGGTCCATTCACACCTAAACACTCTCTCATAGAATTTCGGACGATTTTGTCAGCCATTAGCGATGAGTAACATTTCGGCGTGGAGTTTACCTGCCTTCAAATGTTTTAGCGAAATGAAGGACGGCTGGAATTGGTCACAGAATTAGTTTCACAGGTGTACAGGTTAGGGCGTTTTAAATCTGATCAACATCATTCTTGTGAGGCCACGTAAAGCCCCAATTTCAAATGCTTCATACAGTTTAACCTAATCAAATATGGCCTTTCAGGGCAAAGGTTACAAAAAAACTGGATTTAATGTGGTGGAATTAGTTGGACTGCTTGCATAGCTTGGAGGTCACTCGACTGTGTTGGTCTTGGGTTACTGAATAGTGTGAAAAAAATCAATTCAAAAAACAGTTGCCTGAGCATCATTCACTGCTGCATTGAATTTGATAAAAGAATAGTGTGATTGAAAAGCTGGAAAACTCCAACTGCGATATCACCGATGCTACCAGAACCGCACATCCTGCAGGCTAAAAAGTACACAAACGGAGATGAGGATGTACTCATATAAACCAGATCGCTTGGCCAGTTGCTAAGTACATGACAAATATGTCTGAGCAGCGGTCCAATAGGCTATCGCAGAGAATCTTCACGTCAGATCCGCACTGCGAGTATTGCGATTCGTTTAAACAGTGAGCCTAACTATGACAGGAATATAAACACCTATTAATAAGGCAATAGCGAATAAAAACACAAATTCTTGATTCAAATAAACCTGTGGGATTCTTTTCCTTTTGAGGGGTATGTTATTCTAACCGCGGCAGATATCCCACTACCTCTGTTGATTGCTTCATCTGTCCTCGAAATCGCCCGAGAATCCACAGGCCGGCTTGTTTTTCTGAACTCATGTTATCAAGACACATGATAATTGACTCCTGGATAAACAGTTGAATATGTTAGCCTGCAAAAATCTGCTACAAGGACGCGACAACTGGGGAAGTTTAACATCAAAATTAGATCCCCTGATTTGTTGTAAATATGATCATCTGCGGGGTGGCAAATCTCTAAAGTTTGTGGAGACCAATTGCCAGAAGTTTCATTTGGCAAAAGTAAGTGCAACATTTTTGTGATACCAGTATTGTTATCTCCATGTTGATTTCGAATCAAAAGAAATGGGGTTCAAACTGGTCGGATTGAACACTATCTCTGAAAGGAATATTTTCCATTTCGACTAGTTATTTGAGAAGCTACAGCCGCTGGTGAGCAGTTTTGATACGCAGGCTGGAAGACGAAGTTGCCGAGTGATCCCACAAAAACCCGGGGTTCATATGCTAAAAGATGTCCTTGTGGATGTATCAGGAAGGTCAGCTTCCTGAAAGCAACCACTGAATGGCCGGAATCTACGGAGACTCTTATCTCCGCTGGGTGTTGACCAGACAGACAGCGCCACCTCAATATGCAGCGCGTCACAGCCTTGCATCAAACCCAGACAGCGCGAGCCAGCGTTGATCAAGGACAGACAACGCCTCCGCAATATGTAGCACGTCGCTGCCTCGTACCAAAGCCAGACCGCGTGCGTCAGCATTGGACCAAGTTCAGACAGTGTCCTTCCAATAAAAAGCTTGAGGCCGTTGTACTTTTCGCACTCGCACGCACTCGCGCTCTCGCAACCACTTTG